GATTGGGCGGAAACAATTGTAAGAGGCGTGTCCAAAAGCCTGGCAGCGGTGGGATTGTACTGGGCCTACTCGTCCTTGCCAAGCTTCTATTACGACTCCTCTCATATAGAGGAGCTCGTTTATATATATCATCTCTGGGCCGGGGCTCCCCAGTGCGAGCTCCTTCCACTTGACCGCATAGAGAGCTGAGCGGCTCGAATCGTCGACGACCGAGTTTTCTTTAATTAGCTCGAATCACTAGTGCTGTGTAAGGATGTAGCATCCCTTTCCATTTTCTATCGTATTTATTTTATTTTCTGGAAGACCGATTGTTTTATATTGTTTTTGCACATAATATTTCCACGCATGTAATTGATATATACATTGTCAGAGAGTTATTCTTCACAGAACAATTACGTAAATTTAAATTATCAAAATTCTTGTTATGAAAATTTTGCTCTCTAATATATAGCTATAATAGAGCCGCAGACATAGGGAACTCTTACATACAAAAAATCTGAGCTCGTGTGTGTGTGAGGCCCTCTAGCTAAACATAGCAAAACTACGTTGAATATTTATAAGGAAAACATTTCAGCTATTCTCCAGTAGGTGAAGCCAATAAATGTAAGGTAAAAACCCGTTTTAGGAATGTTACCGTATCGATAATGTTGTTGAAGGTTACTAAGTTTGTAATGCTTTACGATATAATAATAGGGAATATGCATGCTTTTTTTATTGTATTAATCTATTTATTATGTCTCCTGTCACACCAAAAACGTCATATAAACCTCATGGATAAGTTGAAATATTGTTGCGCGCCACTATTAATGTCTTGTACATGGCAACACTAGTTACACTAGCGCCCACTAGTGTCGAGTAAATGAAAGTATTGCGCGCCACTATTAATGTCTTGTACATGGCAACACTAGTTACACTAGCGCCCTCTAGTGTCGAGTAGCAGAACTAGGAGAGTCGAGATCCTTCCAGAAATTTCGGGACCGATATGTACCCGAACATTCTAGATGTCGCTACAGTAGAAGGTTCTGGAAACTATCTGAGGCCCTATATAAGGCCGGTATAGACCACGACCGGGGCAGTATTGAATTAGCGATACAAGAGAATACTTCGAAGCGAAATAACGGCGAACTGTGTTTTATTATTAGTGTGATTTTAGATTGTAATTAGTGTTGTGTAATTAAAGTGTCAATTTTGGTAATTCAATCGGCAGTTTTTAATTGTCTCGAACCCCAAGCTTGTAACAATTGGTGTCAGAAGTGGGATCAAATATGCCGATTTTACCTAAAGACGACACGGAGGGTATCCGTACCCGAAGTCAACGCCAACAGGAGACTGACCAGAGACGATTTGGTAATGCAACGCCGCAAACGTCGGAGGGCCAGCTGCTAACCACGGAGGCCGGCCCGTCAGCAGCTCCTGCATCTGCAGCACCTGACTTAGGTGCTCTGATGATGATGCTGCAGGATCAGGCTCGCCGACAGGAGGAACAGGCCCACCGACAGGAGGAACAGGCCCGCCGACAGGAGGAACAGGCCCGCCGACAGGAGGAACAGGCCCGCCGACAGGAGGAACAGACCCGTCGGTTGGAAGAGCAGCTGCAGCGCGGTATGGAAGAACAGATGCAGGAAGGACCTTCACGCTACCTTCGGGAATGAGATAAAGGAGGTGAAGGATAGGGTTGCTCAACATGACAACCGCCTGTCGGAAGCTGAAACCCGAATCGACCAAGTGAACAATCGGGTTGACAACGTGATGGCTGATGTGAAGAAAACGCTCGACGACCTCAAACTTGGGGATGGAATTACAGCTCCCGTGGTAGCTACAACACCTTCGCTACGTGGATTCAAAGTACCGCCGTTCGACGGGAGTTCTTCCTGGTCGGCCTACAAAATCCAGTTCGAGGCTGTCATGAAAGCGAACGGCTGGAATAAAAGTCAGGCCATGACTGCTCTCACCCTAGGCCTACGCGACCAGGCCTTAAATGTTCTGGAAGCTCTCGGTAAGGAAGTGACTTACGAGCAGTTCCTTGAGGCATTGGAGGCGAGATATGACGATGCTCACCTGGAACACGTCTTTCGTGCGCAGCTCAAAGATCGCGTGCAACGCAGTAACGAAAACCTGCAGCAGTGGGCCCTTGAGGTGGAGAAGCTGGTTCGAAAAGCGTACCAGTCTGTACCTGCGCTCATTGTAGGGAATCTGGTGCAGACATTCATTGACGGCATCCGCGACCTTGAAGTCAGAGCTGCTGTGAGGCTCGGGCACCACGAGACGCTTAAGGACGCCTTGACCCATGCACTGGAGGTGGAAGCCGTGCGGCAGGATCATCGTTTCCACCGCGTCAGGGAGGTTGCAGCAGCTACAGTTCAGGACCGCAATAAGGGCTACAACCCTAGGTGCTACGGCTGTGGGGAAAGGGGCCATCTTCGATCCAACTGCCCTAAATGAACTATAGAAAGGGAAGGTGATCGATCTCGAGAGGGTAGTGCGGATAATAGAACCGCCCAGCAGCAGCAGAGAAACGAGTAAAAGCCAGGACTGCGGGGCGGGTGCTGGCTGATGTTAAAAGAGCCCCAAGGATTTCGATCTCACAAACCCATGATGGGAACAGCCTAATCATCAAGGGCGAAGTCAACGGAACGCCGTGTAAACTGACCATAGACACTGGAGCCTCTAGCACGGTTGTCAGTTCCCAACTTATAAGTCGGTTCCTTGGGGACTCCGCATACAACTGAGAACGCATTAATTTGGTGACAGCCACCGGTCAGCGCATACCCGTCCGTGGAGAGAATGAGATGGAGTTGAAGCTAGGCAACATGATCTACCTGCATAATGTCATCGTGGCTGATATAATGGACGACTGCATCCTGGGTCTAGACTTTATGAGGAAAAATTGTTGTGAGATCGACGTTAAGCAAGGTGTTTTGAAATGTGGACAAGAGGAACTATTCGTCGAAGGGGCGTTACCAGGGAATGTGTACAGCCTTAAGAAGATTGTTCTTCCGCCGAGATCGGAAACGATTGTGCCGGTTAGACTTCCACGGAATCCTGGGCAAACTCTTCGTTGTGTACTCGTGGAAAGGGTAGACAATGACCTTCCATGGAAAGTGGCTCGAACCTTGGACAAAACCGCCGACATCTCAGGAGTACGTGTGCTGAACCTTTGTGATCAGGAACAGATTATAGAAAAAGGCACATTGGTTGGTACTAGTGAGGAAGTGGATTGATTGCGTCAGTGCCAATATCTATCGACTGGGAACCCCAGCAAGGATGGACAAACTAGACTGACCACACTTTTAGAAGACTGTCGCAGCGTTCTCTCCCCGAATGAAACGGTCAAAGCGAAGAAGTTGTTACTCAAGTACGCCAATGTTTTCTCGTCAAACGAAGCTGACATAGGAAAGACTGGCTTAGTTCTACACAAAATAAACACAGGACAAGAATTGCCTATTCGTCAGCGGCCAAGAAGATTGCCTGTAGCACGTGAAAAGGAAGTGGAAACCATGATTGAGGGAATGGTGAAGGATGGTGTTATTGAACCTTCATCTAGTCCATGGTGTTCACCTGTGGTGCTAGTGAAGAAGAAGGACGGCAGCATGCGGTTTTGTGTTGACTACCGCCGCCTGAACGACGTTACGAAGAAGGACAGCTATCCCTTGCCAAAAATTGATGACACGCTGGACATGCTTACAGGCGTAAAGTGGTGTAGTACGCTGGATCTGAAAAGTGGCTACTGGCAGGTTGAAATTGACCCTAAGGACAAGAAAAAAACTGCATTCTCCACAGGAAAGGGTCTATGGCAATTTAAAGTCATGCCGTTTGGATTGTGCAATGCTCCAGCAACGTTTGAAAGGTTGATGGAGCTTGTACTTACCGGGCTAATTGGAGATGCCTGTCTGGTCTATTTGGATGACATCATCATCGTAGGCTGTACGTTTGAGGAACACCTTCAAAACCTGGAACGCGTGCTCATGAAGATCCAGAGTGCCAACCTCAAGTTGAGTCCAAAGAAGTGCTCACTATTCAAACGGCAAGTTGGTTTTTTGGGGTATGTAGTGTCGGAAGAAGGTATCCGCACGGATCCAGAGAAAATTGCTGCTGTCAAGGAGTGGCCGGTCCCAAAAGACAAGACACAGGTTAGAGCATTTTTGGGTTTGTGCTCTTATTATCGGTGATTTGTGAAGAACTTTGCAGATATAGCCAAACCTCTGCACAAGCTAACCGAGGAGAAGCGACATTTCTGCTGGGATGAAAGTTGCGATATTGCATTCCAGGAGCTCAAGAACCGTCTGTGCAAAACACCTATTTTGGGGTACCCTGATGCGGGCAAGGAATTCATAGTTGACACAGACGCAAGTGATATAGGACTTGGCGGTGTGTTGTTTCAACGGAATGGTGATCAAGAGATTGTGATAGCGTACTTCAGCAAGTCGTTGTCAAAGCCGGAAAGGAACTATTGTGTCACAAGACGGGAATTGCTTGCTGTGGTAAATTCCTTGTAGCATTTTAGCAAATATCTTTTAGGGCGGAAATTCCACTTACGAACTGACCATGCTGCACTGAAATGGCTATTGCAGTTCAAAAATCCGGAAGGACAAGTTGCGAGATGGATTGAACTACTGCAGGAATACGACTTTGTGATCGAACATCGCAGCGGGAAATCTCATGGCAATGCAGATGCATTGTCAAGAAGACCTTGCCCTGAAGATTGCAAGCATTGTACTAGGCAAGAGGGTAAGGAAGTGGTATCTGTGAGAATCCTCAGGACAGACCAGCTCAGCAATGAGTGGAAGGACAGCCTACAACATGCACAGCAAGAAGATTCGGACATTAAGCCGATTCTGGAATGGATGAAGGCCAGTGCTCCTAAGCCCAAGTGGAGCGACGTCTCAGCAATGAGTTCGACCACGAAAAGCTATTGGGCCCAATGGGACAGCTTGCTGATTCAGGATGGAGTCCTGTGCCGTAAATAGGAAAATGGTCGGGGAGACAGTTGTCATTTGCAAATGGTTGTCCCTAAGGCTAAAGTACCGGATGTTCTACAGCTGTACCATAGTGGTTGTTCAGGAGGCCACCTGGGAGTTAAACGAACTCTACTGAAGATCCGAGAAAGGTTTTACTGGGTCCACTGTCGTGACGATGTCGACGACTGGTGCCGCAAATGTAAAAGTTGCGCGGCTGTAAAGGGACCTCAAATTCGTAGTAGAGGCGCATTGAAACATGCATTGCACATACAACCGTTTTTGTTGTCATATCGAAGCGCTGTTCACGAAAGTACATCAGTGACACCAGCTTTCGCAAACTTTGGAAGAGAATTGCGGCTGCCTGCAGACTTGATCACCGGAATACCACCATGCAAGTGACTTGCGGAACAAAATGAATGACATTTATGAGCCCGTCCGACAGACGGGCCAGCAAATGTCTGAGAAGATGAAAACACGGTATGACCGCAAAATGAACAACAAGGGGTTTGATGAAGGTTCCCTAGTGTGGTTACACAATCCAGTTCGCAGCAAAGGGAAATCTCCTAAGCTTCAAGCTAAATGGGACGGACCGTACCGGATTGTGACAAGGATCAATGATGTAACCTACCGGATACAGAAAGGTGCCAGAGGTACTCCTAAGATTGTCCATGTGGATCGACTGGCGCGTTATTATGGGGCCAATAATGCTCGGGACGAGCATGTCTTAGGAGGGGGCAGTGTTGCGCGCCACTATTAAGGTCTTGTACATGGCAACACTAGTTACACTAGCGCCCTCTAGTGTCGAGTAGCAGAACTAGGAGAGTCGAGATCCTTCCAGAATTTTCGGGACCGATATGTACCCGAACATTCTAGATGTCGCTACAGTAGAAGGTTCTGGAAACTATCTGAGGCCCTATATAAGGCCGGTATAGACCACGACCGGGGCAGTATTGAATTGGCGATACAAGAGAATACTTCGAAACGAAATAACGGCGAACTTTGTTTTATTATTAGTGTAATTTTAGATTGTAATTAGTGTTGTGTAATTAAAGTGTCAATTTTGGTAATTCAATCGGCAGTTTTTAATTGTCTCGAACCCCAAGCTTGTAACAATATCATGAAATATTTATCTTGGATGACGTCACTCCATTTGACGCTATAAAAATAGGATTAAATATATATTTAATATGAGAAAAATATCATATGTCGGTCAGCGTCGAAGGCACATCGCAAAACATTAAATCCAATAAGCGAGCGCCTCCATGTTTTCAAATTCGTTTCTTTTACAAAAATACACTTTAAATCTTACATATTTTAGAAAAGCACTAAACTTAAAAATCGTTACAGGATAAATTATTATACAAATTCACAAGTTTGTGCGTCTACCGCTAAAAATAATACCTTTGTCGTATCTTCTCAATTTCAGAGAACTTCCCTTTTTGTCGCAGCCAGTAGCGGAATCTTCGGCGTTGACATATCAAATGACCTGCAGTAGCATGGTCACTTGGAAGAGAAAGCTAAATTGGCTTCTAAAAAGCTTGACGTACTCCGTAGAGCGAGACAGTATTGCATGCCTACACATCGTTTACAACTTTACAAGCGCAGGTTCGGCCACACATGGAATACTGTTCTCATATCTGGGCCGGGGCTCCCCAGTGATAGCTCCTTCCACTTGCCCGCGTAGAGAGCAGAGCAGCTCGAATCGTCGTCGACCGAGTTCTCTTTGATGGGCTCGATTCACTGGCGCTGTGTAAGGATGTAGCATCCTTTTCCATTTTCTATTGTATTTACCACGGATAGTACTCTGAGGAATTGTTCGGATTAATTCCAGCCACCAAATTTCACCAACGCACATCGCGACAAAACTTACGTTACCATCCACATCATTTTGATGCTTGGCGGCCCACTACCGTGCGATTTATTAGGAGTTTTCTTAGGAATCGTTTACCATCTGTATAACATGGAGCTTCAAGAAACGAGCTTACTCATTTTTAAAAGGCTGGCAATGTATCTGCAATTCTTATGGTTTTGTAGAATTATATTAAAATTTTATAAAGAAGGCTATCTTGTTGACTGGTAGTACTGGTTGTACTGGCTGACCTAGACGGTTCACGTTGCAACAAACGGCCGTGGGCCCCGGATACAGACCCACCCGATGTCTTGATTACTATGGGTACAGTATCGTTTACTGTTTCACCTCCTTAAATATTGTAGGTGATTAAATCTGCATCATGTATAATATATTTTATCAATAGCACCTATTGATAAACGTTGTCAATCACTAACTCTTTGGTGACGTTACTGGATAACAGAGGGCGCTTATTACGATATTGATAAATGTTCTAGAACAATCTACCAGAAATAATAAAAATTAAAAATTATGGGGTAAATATACTTTATACTTGCGATAATAAACGGAAATCACATTCAGTTTTTGCAATATATCGGGACAATACCTTAATGCACAATCGGACATATTTGTTTTCTTTGAAAATATATTTTGAATTTAGGAAACGAATGCGTCTTGAGCTTTTGATAATCTAACTAAGATTAAATGACACAAATCCGAAATATATCCTATAGGACATAAATAAGACGTGACCATTTTGTTGCTGATGTCCGGTCTATTACTAATACTTAAATGTCTTTGGCTCAACCCAAATCATCATCATAATTACAGCCCTTCACAAGTCCACTGCTGAACATAGGCCTCCCCCAAGAAATGCCACAAAGCACGGTCCTGAGCCACCTGCATCCATCGACTGCATATCTTACCAGGTCGTCACTCCATCTAGTGGGGGGACGCCTTACACTTCGCCTACCAGTACGAGGCTGCCACTCAAGAACCTTTTTTCCCCATCGGTTGTCGGTTCTTCGAGCTATATGGCCGGCTCATTGCCACTTCAGCTTAATAATCCGTTGGGCTATGTCGGTTACTCTGGTTTTACGGCGGATATCCTCATTTCTAAGTTTATCACGCAGAGAAACCCCGAGCATAGCCCTCTCCATAGCTCGCTGAGCGACCTTGAGCTTCCTCATACGGCCAGCAGTGAAGGACCACGTCTCAGATACGTAAGTCATCACTGGCAACACGCACTGGTCTAACAATTTGGTTTTAAAGTTTTGAGGTATGTCCAACGAGAAAATGTGTCGTAGTTTCCCGAACGCTGCCCAGCCGAGTTGAATCCGTCGATTGACCTCTCGGTCGAAGTTGGACTTACCTAGACAGACTATTTGTCATAGATAAACATACTCGTCAACAACTTCGAGCTTAGTGCTCCCAACAACTACCGGCATAGGTGTGACATGGACGATAAACATGATTTTTGTTTTGTCTTAAGACCTATCCGTCGGGAAACACTATTGAGGTCATTGAGCATAGTGCTTAGGTCCTCCAGCGATTCTGCCATAAGGACTATATCGTCGGCAAATCGAAGGTGAGTGATGTACTCGCCATTGATGCTCATACCGTATCCATTCCCGTCCAGAAGCTTGAAAACGTCTTCCAATGCAGCGGTGAAGATTTTTGGGGATATAACGTCACCCTGTCTTATACCTCTCTGCAATTGGATAGGTTTCGTACTCTGGTTCTGTACTCGGATAGCCATCGTAGCCCTACTGTACAAGCTTTTCAGCACTTTGATATACCGACAGTCAACTTGGCACCGCTGAAAGGACTGCAGCACCGCCCAAATTTCGATGGAATCAAAGGCTTTCTCATAGTCCACATACGCCAGACATAGTGGCATATTGTACTCCTCGGACTTCTGTACAATTTGCCGAAGGGTATGTATGTGGTCTATGGTGCTAAAGCCTTTTCTGAAACTGGCTTGTTCGGGAGGCTGGAAGTCGTCAAATCTGCGCGCGAGACGATTCGTAATGACTTTTGAAAACAGCACGTAGACGCGGCTCATAAGGGAAATCGGTCTGTAGTTCTTCAAGAGAGCGTAGTACCTTTTGTGAAGAACAAGATCATCGCACTTCTGCTCCACGCCTCCGATGTAATGCCACCATGGAGGACGGAATTAAAGAGCTTCTGAAGGAATTCAAGTACCAGTTTTCCACCCGCTTTCAGAAGCTCCACTGTAATTCAATCCTCGCCTGGGGCCATGCCGATTTTAAGGTGCTGAAGAGCCATTCTAATCTTGCTCAGACTGACGTCCAGGATATCATCAGAATAATGTCGGATAAGACTCGCTCTTGGAACGTTACTCACACTTGCGTGTGGCTCCAACGATGATGTGTACAGCCGCCCATAGAATCTCTTAATCTCAATCAAAATCTCAGGTGTCCCGGAAACGACGCTGCCACACTCGGTCTTCAGCTTCGACAGTTGGCTCTTTCTGGCAGACAGATCTCTAGCAAAGACTTTGGGGCTCTGGTTCCGCTCGATCACTTCTTCAATACGAGCAGTATTAAAGTTAGTCTCGCCGCATGCATTTGGAGATCTGTCTGTTCAGTTGCCTGTATGCTGTCATATCTACTGAAGACTGCAGCTTCATATCCCGTCTAACAGCCATGAGATTAAGAGTGTGATCGGAGAGTTTTTGTGTTCTTCTGCGGCGGGTATTGCAGAACTTAACTCCGACCGCATGGACATTTTCCACGAGCTTGTCATTCATATCGTCCACTGCATTGCAATCTTCTAGGCATTGAAAACGGTTTTATAACTCGAGATGAAAGGTTTCGGGACCTTGGAATAGAGCACGAAGGGGACGGAGTGTTGACTTCATTAGACGAGACCTCTCCAACTTAACGTTTAGATTCAGTGTGCCTCTAAACATTCGGTGATCGCTACCAGTTTTCACTCACGCAATCACGGCGACATCACTGAACAGTTGTCGTCTGGTCGCCATAATGAAGTCAATCCCATTTTTTGTCGAACCGTCGGGGCTCGACCAGGTCCACTTCCTGTGGAGCCGCTTCTGGAAGAAAGAGTTCATCATAAAAAGTCCCTCTTTCCCCATGAAGTCGGCCAGCTGCTGGCCCCTTGGGTTCCGTTGTCCTATTCCGAAATTCCCTATTTTCAGCTCACCGTTCTCTCTTGTGCCTAGTTTTGTGTTGAAGTCTCCCATTTACACCGTATAGTGGTGGGTTTTGGAGGAATGCGTCGCTCTAGAGATATCCTCATACATTTCCTCCACCTCCTCATCGGGGTGCGCCGAGGTTGGTGCGTAAACCTGTATGACCGAAATAAATGATCTCAAACAGATAGAGTTCGAGTTAATATCGTAATAATCCCTACAAATAACGGTCAATAAATTCAAAATATTTAAAGACTTACCTCAATATTGTCATACGTTTTTCTTGTTCTATTGTAGGAAATCTACGGAAAGTGAAAAGATGATTTTGTGCTATTTTTTGCGCGTTGCACTTAACTTAGTTTCGATTCTGATCAC